GTTTATACATAGAAACAAACCAAAACTCAATCTGTCTTTCTGTGTGATATAGTAATAAAACTTCTGTTGTCTTTTAATCACAGATTTTAATTATTGCTTAATTATGAATTTGGACCACTGACATATTTATTACTGTAACTAATATCAGTATTTTATAATGATTATTGATAAGGTTTCACTGGTGAAACACAAGAAATAATGAAATTTAATTATTTCCCAACACAGTATCAGAATCTGTTCAATTCTTTGAATAGAATTTGTCTCTTACTGGCCAATATGAATCATACTTTTTCTAACTTCTTTGAGTATCATATATATGCGTATTTCAACCTTACTTCAGTGCAATTTACAACATTATTTTGTCATGTTTGATTTTATAGTTTTTTTGAGCTGAGCTTGACTTTGAGCTTCAAAGTCTAAAAGTATATGAAAAACATAAACAGACACTGCCTCACTTTGCCATGAGTTTGTCTGGACTTCTGCATATAGAGAAGCAAAACACAGATTTACTGTTTTTACTGTATTTACAGACATTTTCCGACTGTAGACACAATGAGCCTTTATGTTGTGTTTTTATGTTCTTGTCAAAGCTGGGGGAGGGGCTAAACCTGTAGTTTTTTTTTCAGTGTCCTTCCTACGTTCACAAACATAGACGCACTCACACACGACGCTTATGACTGTGTGATCTATCAGCTTCTGGGCAGAATGGCATGGCCTCAGCCCAGCCCAATAAGCTCATTAATCAGGCAGGGAGAGGAGTGGGTGGAAGGAGGACACAGCAGTGAATCTCATTATCTTACTTCACAGCACTGCTAATCAGTAGATTTATTGATGATGACCATTTCCATTCAGTGAGAGGAGATTACTGTCTCTGTAACATGTAGGAAAGAAGGCATTTGCACTCATGGATCCACATGTACGATATGTGCTTTCCGGGTGGAAGAATCTTCTCCCTTCTCACTATGTATTTATATGCACAAAGACTCTCTCTCTCTCTGTCTCTCTCTCTCTCTCTCTCTCTCTCTCTCTCTCTCTGTCTCTCTCTCTCACATACACACACACACAGTCTTGAACATGCATGTCCTTGCAACTCTTTGAGCGGTGAAATCGTGGTAATTCTTTATGTCCAGCTTCCTGTCATTGAGGGTGTGTGTCTGCGTGTCTGTGTGTGTGTGTGCCCATGCATAGGTTGTGTATGGACTTCATGCTGCAAAGAATCCCCGCAGTACATAGAAATGGAATGAGCACAATGATCATAGAAGAAATGATCACACTATAAATAGAAAGTGAATTAAATCTGATAAATCTTGACCATGAAACCTGAAATCAACATGTATCGATGTGATGGTGACAGTATTTTTGTGGGTGACAATTGGAGCTTGAAGAAGATAATGACTAGAGCATTTTGATAAAGACCATCAGAGGCATTCATTGTTCATTTGACTCTAACACACCAGTGAGAGCTTTATCATATTATGACATGTTATACACAATCCCAGACAATGTTTTGGCTCGTAGATCAGAGTTTTAGTCACGGCAACTGTTTGACTTTATGGATGGCGATGATGGCCTGCTGGTCAACAACTATTTGCATGGATTTCCATGGAATTTGATACTGACTTTCAGGCGCCCTACAGACTGAACCGTAATGACTTTGGTGATCCACTAATGTTCCATGTAGCGCCATCATCTGGTCAAAATTGAGATTTGTCCGAGACTTTATTTTGATGACCAAAATACCAGCAAAACTTGATGTTCCCATCAACGTCAATTAGCGCTACTTAGCAAAATGCTAGTATGCTAACAAGCTAAACTAAGATTGTGAACATTACATCTGCTGAACATCACCATGTCAGCGTTGTGCATGTGATCATGTTAGCATTGAGCGCATTGTCTTTACCATGTTTTTTTTTTGTATCGCTCTAATTGCAAAATACACAACAGGACTTTAATTAGGTCAGCATTATATTTAGTGGTAGCAAAGTTGCAAACCACAAACATAATTACTTACTTATTGTTCTGTTTGCACATTATGTAAATATCTTTACAAATGCAAGTACTTATAAAGAACATACCTTATTATTTATGGTTGATTTGTTATTTTTCTACCTTATACTATTGTTATTACTTGTTTTTTTCTTCTACCTTCTTTCCTATGCTGCAGTAACAAGCGAATTTCCTCGGGGTGGGATCAATAAAGGTTTATCTTATCTTATCTTATCTTAATTTATGTAATTCTTTTTTTCTTATATGAAATTTATGAGCAAGTAGATTTGTGCAGCAACCTTTTGATGCACTATAATATATTTTAATTATGTCACACTATTAACACTGACTATTAACATCTTCAGGAAATGAAATTGATTGAAAACGTGTGTTCTTCAGTATCCTGACATTACCATTGGTGTGGGTTATAGGGTGTTAGTTTTAATGCATGTGGTTAACTAATCATGATGGACTCACTCATCAGGAGAGCAAGCTTCCTGTGCCCCAAACCGTCCTAGAAATAATATTAAAAATTCCTGATTTATTGTAAGGGAACAGTTTATGACTCCACACTGCGGGGAAAACGATTACCAAACTTGATGACATGAACAAATTTAGGTCAATAAAAGATTATTAACATCTGCATTTGTAACTTTTTGGGTACACCGCCCCGCCTCAACAGAGAACGCACATGCCTGGGAGCAAAAAGTGCCAGAGTGTGCAAAGTCTGAAATATACAGGGTTGTGCAGGCATTGCAAGTAGCGCACAGGTGTGCAAAAACTGCTTGGGTAATAAAGAAAATAGTGTGTAAATAAGCAAACAGTAGGTAGAGGTTAGCAAAGTTAGATGGGCTGGCTGCTGAAGTGACGTGCAGACTCAGTGTTAATGATCCACCACCACCTCCCGGAGGAAAGTTTTTGGAACAGATGGTTGCCTTTGTGTGCCGAGCTGGTGGCAGTCCTCCTTGACTTCTTCATCACCCGACTGTGACGCGTTTCCTTGATGGACGGCCGCAAACAGCCAGTGATCCGCTAAGTAGAGCAACCGAAAACTGCCGGAGCTTTTCTCCAGGAGGAGCAGGGCGAGGCAGAGGTGGACCAGGCTGTTATGGTATGCTAGAGACAGAGAGACAACGTGGTTGTTGTAGGAGAAACAAAACCGGTGATGAGCAGTGGGAACCCGGGAGAAGGAGAAGAGAAAATTCCTCCCATCCCTCTGTCTTTTCCCCTCCTCCTCCCCAGTGGTATTAATTAACAGCAGCAGATGAGTGGAGAAGGAGCCTGAAGAGAGAACAGGTTCATGTCAGGTTAGCGTATGCTGTTGTGGGCTCTCTCTCTCTCTCTCTCTCTCTCTCTCTCTCTCTCTCTCTCTCTCTCTCTCTCTCTCTCTCTCTCCTTTCACATATGTATATCACACACAATAGGAGATGTGACGCATTGTACAAATGGCAGCTTCCTCTCATGATGTCCGGAACTGAATTCGTTAGATGCTTTAAAAATGGTTAACACCCACTTTAAGCTTGAACACGCCTCCTTCATGTTTTCCAAAAGTCAATTGAAACCCGGAGCACACCCCACAACCGCTCATATGCCCCTCACAGCTCTGACAAATCGTCTTTCTCATTTGTGTCTGTTAGAAGAGATTCACCTCAGTTTTAATCAGTACAGCTGTCTACGTCTGCAGTGTAATGGTTTGCATTTCACTCTTGTGTAACTGTGACCTGAAGCGTCTTCTTTACTCAACGTTGTAAGCTATGGAAAGTGGAAGACTGCTTTATTTTCAAGTACCCTCACTAATGTTCAAGGCAAGTGGTCCAGAGCCAGACGTGTTAGAATCTCTAGCTGATGTTAACAAGGCTTCAGCGGGTGAGTACCCTGACTCTGGATGTGTGTGAGAGGTTGGGAAGAGATCACTTATCAATTCATCATCAGTCTCTGACTGTTTCCCTTTAACTCTTCCTGTTTCTAACCAGCTATCCATATAGATTCTCCAGTTTCTGCCATGGATGTCATCTTTTAGCACGCAGACCGAGATAGCAAACAAGTATACGATGTGGTCCGGCCAGCAACAACATGAAAGTTCCAATCATTGGTTTATCACAGTTAAAGGAGTTTAATTACATTTAATTACATCTTTTTAGCAAACTTCTTCTGTTTTGCAAATGATTTGTCGGCCCACTTGCAATATATTCGCGGACCACCAGTGAGCCTCGGCCCACAGGTTGGGAACCAGTGGTATATACCATGCAATGGTAGAAACGCGTCCACCGGTAGAGATTTCCTAACACCGCTTCCACTGCGGTACCTATTCCTTACTGTCTCTGTGATGTCATCAGGACAGGCAGTGATCTCGTGAATCCAGCTGCCTCACAAGGTAACGTGATTTGGGCAGCAAGACTGCTGTCCATGTTCTCACGTGAAGTGGCGCTAATGCGCCTCTATACTAGCTCTGCCAACCGCTGCAGAAGAAGAGAGAGACTAGAAAAACAGAAGAGGAGAATGAAATTGTAAATACAGAGCAGAAGGCGTGTGAACCAACCCAAAATAATGGAGAAGAATGTGTTCCTAAAGATGGATGCAACTTCTATTCTTCTTATTTTAAACCATTTCTTAATTGCATTTACAGAACAATGTGATGTAAAATAACATGCACAGTGATAGAAGATGGTCGTATCGCCCACCCCTAGTGTGGAAGAAATATTTTTGACAACTCAGATTTATCTTGTGACCTCTCTGGGGCCCCTGCCTATGGTTGTGAACCACTGCTTTAAAGGACAGAATATACAGTCATCTCTGGAAAGAAGTGCCGCTCCAATGATAACCATAGACTGGGACCAGAATCAGTTGACAGTACATTGAAGTGAGTGTAAATGTAATTTACTTACTTGGAAAAATGGATTTAGTGGATTTACTCTCCAACTATTTTTTGTCCTGTTTCTTGTCTTCTTCCTGCCTTTTCTTTCCCTTCCTTTCTCCCTCTCCGTCTCTCTCCGGCTGTCTGTCACTCCCTGCAGAATTCTATACGACACAACCTGTCCTTGAACAAGTGTTTTCTCAAAGTGCCTCGCTCCAAAGACGACCCTGGAAAAGTAAGTATTTCCTGAACAATGTAATGCGACTGAAAAGCTCAGCTTGAATTATGGTGTGACACACAATGAAAATGCAAACCTATTTCAGCAAGCTTACAAATAAGGCAGAGGCTACGGCGATTACTTTTCACGTGTTTAGTCGCCCTTGTGCTGCATATGTGCACACATTTGTGTATAAGTGCACCCAAAGACACGCGTACTCACTTGTTCTCTTTCTTTGTCACACACACACACACACACACACACACACACACACACACACACACACACACACACAGTGTCTGCACTTAAAAGCAATTTGTAGCTCCATAACCGTCTGTGCTGAATGCCTAATGCAGCTTTCTGTGTTTTCTGCGGCTCTTCCGATATTGATTCTGCCAAGTAATAATGTGGTACAGGGAGTAATGAATAATAAGTATATGTAGGTACACTCCTTCAGATACGAGGCCATTCACACATCTGTTATGGTTTATTAGGCTCTGTTTCTCTCTCACACACACAATCAGAGGAAGCCTTAGATATGTTTCACCACTGCGACGACTGTGGTTAGGAAGCAGAGCTGCCACGTCCACTTCAGCAACGCCAGTTTGATAACAACAACTTGTCAAGTCCTTGTTTGTGCTGAATCGGAGGAATTGCTCAGATGGAGAAAGCATATAATTACAGCTGATCACTGGAGCTTGTCCTTACAAGGTTTTTTAATAAAAGCTCAAATGTCTGCATTTCGGCTCATCACAGGGTTAATGTGAGAAACAGTCCACCACTTTTACAAAAACTGACAAGCCCAAACTTTTCATTGAGCTTTCTCAACTCTGCTCATTTTGTTTGGGGTAGGGGTGTCTCCAGGCTGCAGGGGTTTTGGAGCCATTGAAAAATGAATTAAGGGGAAGAAGGTTTAAATAATTCAAACAAAATCCTTGGGCTTGAGTGGAGGCCCATACTCTGCAAAGACACAAAGAGAGCCCCCCCCCCCTCCCCCCCCCCCCCCCCCCCCCCCCCCCCCCCGATTAGCCTGACTTGGACCTGACCAGCACCTTAATTCACACCGTGGATCGAAGTGGTCGATACCTCAGCATGGGGGGAGGTCATCTGTGTGTAGAGAAGTTGAATGTACATGCTCCGTTTGAAGCCATAGAGAGAGTGGAGAAGCTAAATCATGCATGTGCTAACGTTAATTGGCTGTGTACTGTTCAGTGATGTGGGACTGAGAGACAGGGGGAGGAGAAGAGGCAAGGATGGGGGAGGTGGGGAGCGGGCCGTGTGTGTTTGTCTGCGTTTGTGTGTGTGTGTGTGTGGCCTAGATGAACCTCCTGAATTCAGTCTGCGGCTCTGGACCTCCTTGGGAGGGAAGAGGGGAAAATGAAAGGGAGAAAAAAAAATCAGACCAGGAGGAAATCAAGGACCTAAAAGCAATTGATTTCCTCCTCTCTCATTGTATGTGTTTATTTTGGAGGCTGCTGTGTTTTAACATTGTGTATCAAAAGGATTTCAGTGGATTTTCTGGGGAAAGGAAGCCGGAGCACGCACCACAGGAAAACTAAACCTAGAGAAAACTGATTGGATACAGTGCTGGAATAACAACAGATACACTGGTTTTATCGGATGCAAGGGAGATCCATCTACTGCACTTTTTTAGTGACACTTGGTCCCCCCTATTAGGGAAACTGATGCAGCCTCGGCAGACTTTTTCTACCAAAGTGAGAAAAAAGGGAATTAATGCTGTCCACAATAGGAGGGGATACTTGTGTGTTTTAGAGAACGTGATGAATATAACTCTGAGAGATAATAACAGATGTAAACTGTAGTGAATAATATAATATACAGTGTTCAAATGTACCTTCCTTAACTATAACATCATCTAAAACAGTGGGGGAGAAGCTAGGTCATTATTTACAATAACAATTTAAGTGTAAAATTGTTTCCTCTGGGCATTCATATTGATATGAACTTGAACTGGTGTTTTTTCTGTGAGGTCAGTAAGAATCTTTTAAATGTTTTGTGGCCAGTACCGTGCTGGGTTAACAGCCGGATCGACAAGTTTATTAAAAACACTGAATCTATAAATGTTTTGACTAATGATTGATGAGAGAAGGTTTTGAAGGAAAGAACCAGGAGAAGAGTTCAAACCAGACTTCAGGTGAGAGGCGTTTTTTTCGAACCCACCGCTGTGAAATTTTCGAGTGACATGTGATCCTCGCTCGTTTCCTGAGACATGGCGTTTATACGCTGACGGACACGGGATTTCTGAGGCAAAGATATCGATATTATCATAGGAGATGGGAAGTAGCTTGTTTACTGAAGCACCATATTGAAAGACAATTTTGAGATTTTAGTTTGGAAAACGGTTTTTATGGAAGTTAACATTCAAAACATGAATTTATCTACTTATAAAAAACGATCCTTTGCTGTAGCTCTGCTCACCTGGACCACCTAAAGCACCAACAGTCTTTCTTATGCTGATTACCGATATACTTGATACTTAAGGTACATTTTTATATTTAGTTTACAGGTATCACTATTCTCATTTTAAATTCAGTACTTGTAATAGAGTATTTTCAGTTATTCCCTCTGTGCTGTTTCTGTTTTTGTGATTTTGAGGAATTTTTTTTCACCACTGACTTATTAAAGAGTGGGCGATGGGATAGCAATGCCTGTCAACCCGGTAGCTTCTGACCCATGAATACTCAGAAGTTCTCAACTACACACCTGTAAAGTTTCGTGACTGCATCTTGCACAATTTAAAACTCTGGACAAAATCTGTCCACTGACACATGAACACCTGCCTCTGTGGTAGTTCCTGCCACAGTAGGTGTCTCCATGACCACATTTTGCCAGGATGATTCACACAGATGCACAAGGTGAAAATAATACCAGCCACACACTGATACAGTTGGTAAAGGAGGTGGAAGTGCGCTTAAACCTTCTGAGCAAATCAAAGAGCACCGTAGAAATACATAAGCAGTTTCAACCGAACAGAAGTTTTAATGGTTTGGTTTTTTTGTTGGGGTCACTCTTCAGGGTTCCTACTGGGCCATAGATACCAATCCTAAAGAAGACACAGTACCCAGCAGGCCAAAGAAGAGACCGCGATCTGGAGAAAGGGTAAGTACCTTAACCAAAACCTTTTGATACTAAAGCTTGTCGTTTTAAAAGCCTTATAATGTGGTGGTACACTGCTCAGCTAGTATTCACCTGACATCTCTACAGGCATCTCCAAAGTAAGGAAAGGTTTGTCTGGTGCAAAAACACAATCTTACCTTACCTTTTTTTTTTTTTAGTTTCCACATTCTTAAATAAAAAATGATTTCCTTATACCAGCTCAGGCTCGCTGTCATCAAAGGGGCAGAAGCCAGGATTTTGCTGACAATGTGAGCATTTGTCTCAGAGAGTGTTCATGATGTATCAGTGTGAGAAGGTACACAAGCAGAAAAACAAGAGAGTGGGAAACTAGATGTTGTAGAAAATGCTTATGTGTGTACACACCTATAATGATGCGAGGACAGACCAGCAGACCAGGAAGGCATCGTCAGCCATGACAGAGCAGTGAAATGTGACAGTCGACCGGACTCTACACTGAATAATGCAAAACAAATGACAGTTTAAAACACATCAGCAAATTAATCAGTTATGTTCTGTTGCTGTGTCATTCTTGGTGATTCAGTAGAATAAATTGTATTCAGTAGCGCGCTGTGTGGACCAGCAGTACCCACGTCTTGGCACATGGTGCACCTGCAGCACAGATCTGGGATTATGGGCTAGATCAGTGATATCAGGTAAAAAAATAAGAAGATGGGGTGACTGGGGAAAGGGGTTTATGGGATGCAGCATCTCTACTCCGCACTGTTACTGAGCAGTTTCAAGCAAAACAACAGTCTTTCACAGCCACACGGGCAGTTACCTTCTCAACCATGGTAATTAATGAATTAATCTCTATGAAGAGACTGAAACATGCAGGTTATTCTTTTGCTTTCTTTGTGATTTTCTTTCTTGCTGCTGATCCATCAGTCTAATTGTCCACCATACCAGAGGATGATTTGGTTGAGCATTGACTGGGATATGTTTGTGTTTGCTGCAAAATATCAAACACCTCAACCACAAAATGCACCTTTTTCCTGGCTGGCTTGAACAGGCAGGTTTGTCCTTGCTTTGTACCATTTGATTGATATCGACTCACTTATTACAGGACCCTCTCCTATAGGAGAATGTAGAGAAAAATCTCTGTGTCTGATAACAATGCCCCCACTCTAGCACATGTGCCATTTTCTCTATACAATGTGACATAACAGCGTGATAGCCTGTGGTCTCAGCTAAACAATGTCATGATTGTATATTCATCCAGGTCAGGTGGGTTTGATTTACATGTTAATACATGTTAACCACAGGCTCCTGGATTTGCAGTTTTCAAGATGCCACAGAAACAGCAGGAACAAGATACAAGATAGAGCAGAGTAGAATAGTGAGAACCCAGAAGTAGGAATGAAAATTAGTTTTGGGAAATTGATTGACAGCGGCCGAGGCTATAAATATATGTAACCCTGCATCAGCTCGGCAGAATGCAGCTGCTGTTCAGTCATTAACCTGAGGATCTGAATACAAAAGCAGTGCAGAGTGAGCACCATGATGTATCGCATGTGTTATATCACCTCTGTGCGCCTGCATCTCTGTTGTTTTGACTCCATCTCTGACTACTGTATATTTTGCATTCAGCTGTCTGTCTCTTTAGTAGCTGATTAGAAATATCAAAACTACTTCCAGAGCGAACGAGCACATTCAGTATTCAACACATTGAACAGATGAAAGTCACCGCAACTGAGCTTAAATGAACCGATAACTGTGCTCCAAGAAGATACATGCTATACATCTCTATGGGAATAAACAAACAGAAATAATTAAAGACGCCGCTGCAGCGCTCAGTGGCACACCAGTGCTCTGATGGAATCTAGGTCCTCTGAAAAAGAAGCTCAGGTATCGTATCAATGCTTAGACTTCAGGTAGCATGATAACATTTTCTTTAGCAAAGGTTGAGAAACCAGTCAGTAAAATTAGCTGCAGAAGATTTGCTCTTTTTTTTTTCTTTTTTTTTTTTTGCATACCATAGATCTTTGTATCCAGCAGCTGACTCACTGAGGCTTTTTCTGACTGTATACCAAAGTGTTTGTTATTGCAAACCTGCAGAGTCTTTCATCACGGCGCAGCACAACTGGTCATCTCCCTTCTTTTCTCATCCTGTGTCTCTGTCACTGTTTGCGCATCTTGATCATTATCTTTGTGTTTGTGTGTTTATCTGTTTGTGTGCCAGTCTCTCCTCTGTCTCTGCCTCTCTGCCTCTGTTGCTGCTTTAGCCTTCTCCTCTCCTGGGAACTCAGGCAGGCGTGGAGCGGCAAAGTGCACAATCACAGTTGTATCATTGGAGGAAGAATTGAGGTAAAACAGAGAGAAATGTAGGGGGGGGGGTGTGAAAGAAAGGATGCAGGGGGAAAAAAGTGAAAAAGACATCAAGGTAGAGAGAGCAGAGAGGAAAAAGTCAAGCTGCAAGGGGAAGGAGGGAAAAAAGTAAGAGGGAGAGGAGGGAGGAGGGAGAGTATTCTAGGCTTGTGTTCCAGTTAATTACCACAGAAGGCCCCGGGGCTGCCATTAGACATATTTTCTTCACCAACGATTTTTTTTTTATTACAAACATTAATTAATTCAGAGGCTTGTCATCTCGTCTTACATGGATGGGCCCTTCGACCCCTTTTCTTACGCCTCACTTGCACTGCTGGCAGACGCACTGTGGGCTGTCACATGGGCTAAGGAGAAACAGGGAGGTTTTAAGTGGTAAGATTTATAGCAGTGTTACCGCCTGAAAAAAACAGGTGGGCTAAATATGTCGTGCTGTTTTCATTGGGGTTTTGTTGCACCTGGGCTACACAGTCAAAGTCTTTAAAGTCTCCTGATGACAGCATCTGCGCAAATGAAAAGATTTGAAGTTGGCAGCAAGGCTGAACGTCAGCTGCATAAATGCATTGTGTAACTGTGTAGACAGGGAGTGTACACTTAGTTTAGTACCTGCGTCTCCGGTGCCCTTAGCATAATCACTCTCTTTGATTTCCTGCATGCCTCTCTGTCTGCCTGTCTGTCTGTCCGTCACCACTCAATTATCTCACTACCCTATTCCCCCCCCCCCCCCCCCCCCCCCCCCCCTTTTTCCCACAAGCCTTCCTCACTCCTCTCTTCACCTCTCCGTTGTCTTCCTTTTAAGTGCCTCCACCAGGGAACCAACAACCCGTTTTCACTGGGAGTTTATCATAAATTAAAGATTGCATTGTTACCAACCAATCCTCTTACTGTAAGCAGTTTGGGAAGGCAGGCAAGCTGTCTTGAACCCTGAAAGGAGTTAGACAAGGAGAAAAAAATATCGTCCCCATTTTTTTTTTTTTTTTTTTTTTTTTCTTGCGGGCGGCAATTTAGCCCCTCATCGATCTTTGAATAGTTCCTCATATCCCCACACTCAGTTAACCCTACTTTAGCTCTTTGTGAGGACAGCAAAAAAAGAAAAAAAACAACAAAAAAAACCCGCAAAAAAACTGCTGAATGAACTGCCGCTGAATACATTGTAGGTATGTGAATAATACATGAGGATGGCTTGATTTATCTTATCAAGTGCAGGTGATGTGTCCACTTTCCAGGGTGTGTAAGTGTCCGGCAATTTAAATGAAGCGCGCCTCAACTAGTTCACATAGTGGGAGCCTGGGGCGCGGTGGTGAGTCAGGAAGCTCAGCACAGAATCATGAACTTGCAGCGTTCAGAAAATTCTCATAACCTTTGTCACATTTCATTTCCATCCTGGTTTTTACCGTCACTCTCCCTTGCATATTTCTAATTACAGGGGAACATATTGGGAATACTTTTGCATGTTAATTAATAGGCAACACTTTACAGTTAGTGTGGAAAAAGTATTTGTGCACCTATTGAAATGTTACCAGGCTCAACTCCATATGTGTACAGAAAGAAAACACAACTAGTGATGCAGGCTCACGTCTGGGTGATTGACATTGTTGTCATTAGCTTTTATTGTATGGCCAATGGTATGGTCCCGATTAACACGGAATAGTAACAAGCAATACCCGTGTTTGGTAAATTACTTGGTGGTAATTAAAATATATTCAGAAGTCGCCTATTAATGATGTGTTCCCCTTATAAAACATGACATTTTTCTCTCCCACATGACTGGACATCACCTGCCTTTAACAATGAAAAGTACTGATATTGAGATTGTGATCCTGGCTTTGGTATGGCTTGGTATCGGATCTAAATCAAATTTTGCCGCCCCCCACTCGCCTGTGGATTCATTAATGAAAGCTTGATTAGCTCAGTATAGCATAATTATGTTTCTAGAAGGATTATACAGGTGTATATCAGGTAAGCAGCCATCTACTCATTTGCTACAGTGTGATTTTTATCTCCTGCCACCATGGTACTCTGTGACTCTGTGACACTGTACACACATTCTTGTGAACGTGATACCTCAGGAACAACACGTAGCAGAAACTTCATATGTACACCACAGGTATCTCATATAGAGTAGATGATCTGATTAGAGTTTGGAGCATCCTCTGGCATATATTTGCATATTAATGAGGGAACGCTGATTTCCCAGAAATTGCTATAACTCCTTAACACTGAATTCTAACAAGTTCAAACTGATGGCAGGTTTGTAGTATGCAAAGGAGAATGTGTTGGTATAAAAATCTTTGAAATTCAGTGAGCTAATTAGCTTAATTAGGAAGAAATAGATTGTTTTTTGTGAACATGATAACTCAAAGACAATACATATATGAAAGTTATTACATGCCCCATATGGAGTAGATGATGTATTTCGGTGTACCTTGCTGCATTCATTTGTATATTAATGAGGTAAAACTGTTTTTTTTAAATCTTGTGTTAACATTCTTGATGACAACTATTTGCATTGTGAACGTACATGTTCTGTTGTCATGGAGATCATCGTGGGACATGAGACAATCCAAATGCCTCTTGTTATTTGTCTTTCATTGTTCACCAGTTTTTCTTCATACGTCTCCCGCCGATCGAAATCAATGTGCTTGACTTATTGTAGGAGATACAGTCATATCAATACAAACAGCTTGTTTTCTCCGATTATTTTGGGGTCCTCATTAGCTGTCCTCTTCCCTGTTCTCCCACCAGGCATCTACTCCTTACAGCCTAGAGTCCGAGTCTCTGAGAATGGACTGCATCATGTCAGGAGGGGCGTCTCCCACACTGGCCATCAATGCTGTGACCAACAAGGTACGACACCAGCTTGTCAGTTGTGAAAGAGTGCAATAAATGCCCATTGTTTCTTCTCAGCTATCCCTGATTGCATTTGAGCTTCAGTGGTAGGAACAACATGGATAGTTTGAATGGTCGTAGGCACCAGACTCTTCTAGTTGTACATATATATTTTTACTGTTGACGGTAGATCTGCAATGATTAGTCAAATAATCTATAAATTGATCAAAATCCTTTTACAAGCGATAATGGCGAACAAACATTTGCTGGTTCCGGTTTCTCAGATGTGAAGACGTGATCGTTTTCTTTGTCAGAGTCTGTGGATTTGTTACGCTGTTCAATTCCATTTTGGCTGCTGGAAGTTGTGATCAACATTTTTGCTAATTTACATTTTATAGACAAAGTGATTAATTGATCAAAGGAGAAAATAATCTGCAATTCAACTAATAATGAAAATAATAGTAGCAGTCCAATTTGAGGAAAACATACTTCGCCTTTAACGTAGTAGCCTAAAGAGAATTTTAATTTTTCCCAAGTAGGAAAGAGACTAAATCACAAAGTTGTAATTTAACACAGTGGTTCACCATAACCTAATAGCTAATTTGGCATACATGTATATGTCACGGTGCCAGTTTTCCAGAATGTAACAGTGTCAGAGTCCGAGACAGATTCTGACTTTAGGGTCTGCTTGCGTCTCAGCAAAAATGAGAATCTAATTCAAATAGGAAGGAAGGTAAGTCACGCAACACTCAAACAGGAAATGAGAAGTCCTTGTGTAGGCAACATAAATCATGATGTTATTGGTTTATTGTTACAGCTCCTCATGAGTCAACGAGGTCTCGATATAGTTGCTAATATTAGCTACATGGCCAATTACCAACCTTACTGAGTTCTTTTCAGAAGTTTATGGATGACTGTGAGTTTGAGCGAAGGCAGCGAGGAGCAGAAGAGATGCATCTATATCCACAGCAACAGCCTCCACATGCTCCTTTAGTTTTGAAGGCAGGGAGTGGGTGAACCGTGAGTGGTCGACTTGTGATGCTGCTATGTACTAGTCATAATATGCTTCAGGATCCACAACTATTACATACAGAAACGTTAAATAGTTGAAAAGCTCAGAATGCTGCTACTTTATTGGCCATTACCTGTAATGAGTATTTTTTATTTCTTAACGATGCTTAATGATGATTTTTACAAATTAATTAGTCAGTCAGATGAAGTCATTTGTACTTGCTACTGAAAAGAATGTGTTGAACTTTGTGGAGGCTATAAATAACCAACTGGTTATAAGACGCACTTGACTGAAAACTGCAGCAGAAGGAGTTTCTGTTTTTCTCTTTCACCATCAGTGGCTTGGACTGTTTTACAGGTCTACACCTTCAAACACAACCTTACGCAATGACACACACACACACACACACACACACACACACACACACACACACACACACACACACACACAAACACGTGTACATGCGCTGACTAAAAAGCAAAATTGGGTGTGACTGTTTCTATGAGGGTCAAAGATCAAGCAGCAACTGGGACCTCTGACGCCTGTCTGATCTGCCACACACAAACACACGTACACACGTACACACGCACACACACACACACACACACACACACACACAAACACACGTACATACGCACACATAGAATGATGATGTTTAGTACATGACCTCTTCGTCTGACCCCGACCAAAGAGAAATTTGTCCCGCAGCAGCAGCTCACATAACTCAGAGTGTTTGGTCTGGACGAGATGTGAACGTCTGGACTTGACAGCTCATTCCAGTTTTCCATTCAACTCTTTTCACAGATCTTGACTCAAACGTCCCAGAATGTGTCATTATAAAATCCTTTGATGACAGGGGATTCAGCTGTCATGTAAAATTAAATACATGTATATTTTTTGTAATAATTTTAACAGCATTATATATAGCTATGTATTCGCTTCCTGTAATCATTATTACCAATTTATTGTGATTGAGCCAGTAACGATTTCAAGCAGTTGCTGGTTAATCTGCTTCTTTAATTTGAAGATTTTCAGCATTTTTGTGTTTCAGATCATCAGAAGTTTGACTGTTTGGGAATGTGTGATAGGTATTTGTCATTCATTTTCACATTTTATAGTCTACAATATAAAACATGGGTAATGGATTCATGTAATTGGAATATGATCTAAATAGTTGCTAATATTTTAAATTACCTACCTACTATTTTATGACTAATCCCTAAAACTGTTACTTGCTCACATATTGACCAACTCTATAAAGTTTCTCCAGTTTTATAACATACACAGACAAATTAGTCATGAAATTTGACAATAAAAAGCAAGAGGTGAACATCATGAGCAGCCAAGGAAATCGGCATCAACATTTCCCCAGACAGTTTGCTGCGAAGAGACAACAGGAAACTGTTCACTCACCTTAAGCAGTTTGCACTTAATTTGTTTTACTCCAGTAGAGACTAAAACTTGATTGTTCTTAGTCATCACTATACATTTTCGAAACAATGATTCACAGCAGCGTGAGGAAGACCTTGACGATAACGATGCCGATGCCAACGTCAATGAAATCCACCCACAACCAGACAGGTGGCGTCCTGCAGGCGCAGCAGTGCATCAGAGCCTCTGCAATAACACATTTGCTCACTAATATTCTGTTTGCATTGGAGGGCCTGTGGTTTTGAAAAAGACATTCTTATAATATGATACTTGGAAATTGGGATAACAGAAGGTATTTTCCTTGACAAAGATTATTATAGTCATCATTACATTCAGATATTGTAATGTTTTTACTTGAATTCCTAAATTCCTAGTTAATGATGCTTTGCTACGTTTTAAAAAAACTTGAAGCCTTTCTAGAAACATTATGAGATCTTTTCTTTTCTAATACATAGATGTACACGTCAGATGTTCTTGTAAACTACAGAATCATTTTCTAGTTACTACAGTGACACAGCAAGGAGAATGACAGATTCACTCACTCACAGAAATGCTCAGGATTAACACTCAAACTCACCGCTCAAAAACACTTCTTTTTCCGCTACAGGATGTTCTGCAGGGTAGAGCACTGCCCCAGAGAGCCTTTACTGTTGCCTCACCCTAAGGCTATATTTTCAGATTTGTCTATACAGTTAAATGTAGCCTGGAGGTAATGCTGGTGCTGTGCTTCACAAGCACTGACAGTCAAACAAAACAAGAGAAATATGATTCAACATAATCCTGAGGCACTGCTTTTAAAAGCTCTGTGATCTGTCACCACCAGACAATATGCAGTGCACTTCCTCTGAAGGGAAACTTGTGTCTTCAATGGTGCCCTACTGTCAGACAACAAAGTAATTCCTGTTACCCAGTGGTCGCTGGGTCAGGACACCAGATTAAAATCACCATATTTAAGGAAAAAAAGTTTAGGTTCTGGGCTTTTATGCAGCAGCAGGGTTAATTTGCTTTGAGCACTTTAATTTCCATATTTCCTCATGAGTTGTCTCACAAGTTAATGGTGCATAGGTAACTTCTTGAGGTGGGCAGTGTTCACTTCAATCTGGATATGACTCGGCAAATGGGCAAAACGAAGGAAAGTAAGAAGGAGGAGGGATAAAATCATGAGTGACTGCCTTTGATGACTCCATGTTACCCTTTATTGTCATGTTACCTTGCGTTATAAAAATGTGTGTGTGTGTGTGTGTGTGTGTGTGTGTGTGTGTGTGTGTAGGTAGCGCTGTACAACCCTGAGGCAGAGGGCAGTGAGAGTCCAGGGAGTTTGGGCGGCAGCCTCAGCAACAGTCTTTCAGAGCAGAGTTTGGCGTCCGTCAACCTTAACAACCTGAACACTGCCGTCAGCAGCGGCAGCAACGTACACAGCTACACACCAGTAAGATCTTTTCTTCATTTCGGCTGACAGTCTAATGATTGCTGCAGGAGTATTTATTTTTTCTTATTTTTTATCTGCACAAGGACAACAGCTGACCTGAAGCTGCTACAGACGTAGTGTCTGGTTGAAGGACACTTCAGCAGGGCCAGTGCTTTCTCCCACTTTTCTTTCTTTTTTACATCATGAAATGACAAGTTTTAACTACCAGCATTCAAACCAAATCGATTTGTGTCATATGTTCTTTGTTCCCTTGATTCTGACATAATCTGGATGATTCAGTCACCGGTCCAGACACTCTCAGTACAGAAGGTGTCTGCTGCACACCCTCAGCAGACTGAAGAGGTGGTAACCAGCTAACTACGTGTACGCTGGAACAAACTCTCATTTTCTGTTTGATGTTCAGACTTTGCAAGCAAATGTATTCTCAGTGGTCTTCTGCAGAGCACATTCACTGTGCTCAGATGACATATGCACTATTCTGTACTGTATCCGTAGAGTTAAGCAGATGGTATGAGCAAAGGAAATCTTTTAATTTTATTGCTGTGGTTTTACTTTGAGATGCATAGATACACATTCTGTCAAAAGGACAATTTCAATCAGTTTTCCCCATATAGAGAATTTAATTGGGCTCCTCAAACGAATCAAATTGCCCCCTTCCAAAAAGATTTTTGTATTCATCACTTCTTTCTCTCAGAAGTGTGGAAATGCAGTTGAAAGTGCAGAGTAACTGAAAACTCAGTTGCCTGTCGGTGAATGTTGTGTTCATTTTGACTGGTTATTTAGCTTGTGAATTGAATTTTGTTTTGCAGTCGACAATCAGTTCTGTTTGCAACCCCTCACACCCCTCAGGGTCAAACAGCACAAAATAAACTCTGAACCTGCGGGAAACGCTGGTATGCTTTGGAAAAGTGCTTCTATGATGCGAACATAAAACTGCATTAAACATTAGAGTCGTTCATCTGTGGTGACAGTTCGCCGTAACCACCTCTGATGCATATCAGTGATGCCTGACCACTCCAGTATTAGCAAATTTGAAATAAAGGGGCACAACTGTATATAATTAAAATCAAACTAATTCTGTTAGTCAGCAACTAAACACTGAGATTGTGCCGTTTCTGTGGCTTTTTAGAGGCATAGCAGTGTGTACGTGCAACACACACACACACACACTCACACACACACACACACACACACCCAGTGAGGTTTATTTAAATCAAGTCTGTGTGTATCGTCTACTGTTATGGTGCCTACGGTCTTGGCCAGTGTAAAGTACACTCCAGACTTGGCAGGCCACTGATACACTGAGACATATTTGGCCTGATTTCACACTGGCTGTTTAAGTGATTCCTCATCCTTTACAAAACAAGGTCCTTCGGCTATTTGAATTGATTAGTCTCGAGCAGTGTATGTGTGAGATGATAATAAGTTGCCTTTTTATGAAGGAGGGGGTTAGATTAGCCAACCCATCTGTCAGGACATAAACTGTCCCATGCTGAGCACTTCAGATTTACAGCAAAATATTTAGTGTAAACAATAAACAGCTTATCACAGGCTCATCAGATGAAGACAACGTCGCTGGAGCATTGAGCATTGAACCTGGAGTCTGTGGTAAAGGATTATCCTGAGATTTTTGAACCTGAATTTTCCCATTGACAAAACCTCCACTGACTCCATTGACAAAAGCAGTCATTTTACCTCACAGAACATGGGAGTTACAGATCTAACGCTGCCTCAATTTGTTAGTTTGTTTGTGTTGTTCTGTGGTACTTTTACTAGGGTTTTAAAGTATTCTATCTGATCACGGCAGTGATAGAAGAGCAACTGTTGTGCCATGTAAAATTACAGTTTTTGATCAGAGCCAATATACCATTCTTGCTCAATAGTGGATTGATCACAATGATTTTTTGGTCCTATCAATCATTAACACTCATGAACATGGGAAAATAAAGCCCAGGTACAAAAATCTCAGAGTTATCCTTTAAGAATGGCTGTTGATACAAATAATAACAGTGGCTTGTTTTAAAAAAATCATTTTTTTTACTTACTTTAATTGGCAACTGGAAAATCCTTGCATTTATGATATCAAAGATCAATACAATATATATTTAGTCTTTCTAAGATGTTTCAACAATGGAAACACTGATTTCACCAGTGATGGAAGAAGTACTTAGATCCTTTCCTTAAGTAAAAGTATTGGTACAACAATCTAAACTCCATTACTGCATTCAGAATCCTACTTAATTAAAATCACAGTATTATGAGTAAAATGTACTTCAAAAGTAAAAATACTCATAATTGCCCCAGTATGACATTATTATTCTTTTTTTTCCCCAACAAAAATTTCCCCAAAAACATTGTATAACAAGATGCATTGTTGTGTCAAATGAAACTAACAGGACATGTCTATAAAGTGCATACGTGAATAATGTTGTAGAAAAAGATGTAAGTAATATAAAAAACAAAACAAAACAGAACTAAACAACATTTACACGTTGGCCAACAAATAATCATTATATATAAATACAAAATGAACAAGATAGGAGGAAAAAATAAAAATAAAATCTAACATTCCAAACCCACTAAGGTTACATTAGAGCGAGCGCAGCTGCAGACAACTCATTGATGCCTGAAATGTGGAGCCAATCCCAGTAACATAGGGCGAGGGCGGGGACAAGTTGCCAGTCTATCACAGGGCTGATATATAGAGACAAACAACCATTCACACTCATGTTCACGCCTACGGGCAATTTAGAGGCGACAGTGCTAACCACTGCGCCACCATGCCACCCAACAACGTGTTACATTTGATTGGCTTATCAGATGTTTTTTTATGTAGTTTTTATCTGGAAAGTCACTTGAAATTATAGCTGTCAAATAAATGTAGTGGAGTAAAAAGTACGGTAAGTAAAGTATTTCTCTGCAAAATGGAGCTCAGTATAAACTAGCAGAATATTGAAAATACTCAAGTTCAGTACAAGTACCTGAAATTTGTGTAGTACTTAAATTTTGACCAAGTACTATACATTCATGCTCCCTGGGAACAAACCTTTGTGAACTCTTTGATATATTCCTTTGTAAATCCTTTTATTCAGGCAATTTTATTCTGTGTATTTATTATTCCACGCTGCTGCAACAGCTTCATTTCGCCATTGTAGTCATTAAAGTATCCAAACGTCTAATCGAATTATGGAGACTTTTGTAAAATTTGTAGAACATTTGACATGCCTGTCAAAGTGTTTTTTATCTGTCCCTTTAAACCAAATGTAACACCATTTTAAAGGCCGTTCTCGGTCCAAAAACATTTGGTCCAAAATTACAGAAGTGCTGAAAAATCCCACCCCCTCATTATTTTTCCCTTGTAACAGCTGCTCGCCTTTTTACCATCAATCACTTTTCCCCGCTCACCTCCCACCTGCATTAGCAAAGGTCAGTGCAATCTCATCTCGTTAACCTCTCATTTCTAGAGGCCATCTTTTGTTTTCCTCCTCCCTGCATCACCCCCTCCACCCCTCGCCCTTCTCCTCTATCGTTTCAGACCTCATCTGTGGTCTAGTCCAGTGGGATCAGGGTTAGTTCTGCCTCATTACCTGGCGCAGGTGATACCTTCCTGACTGACGGTGATTACTGGTGGCATCACTGGCAGAGATCTCAAAGGCACCAAGAGAGTTGATGGAAAGGCTGCCGTTAGTGGGTGGAGGTAGATGTGTGGGGGATGTGACATGCTAAGTTGGTTTATATTTGTGGAGGCACACTGATCAGAGCAAACTGCTTGTATTTGCTGGGTGGATGGTGAGGAAGATGACAGCGAGGATGAGTGATTGAGGGTGGAGGAAGACGGGCTGCGTTCACAATATGAGACAGAAATTTGAAGCACAATATTTTGTTTTTGTGTATGAAAATAAATTGGTGCCCAAGGAGGATTTCATTTTAATTACATGAAATCAAATTTGGTATAATCATCACACTGAATAACTGAATTAAAAGATGATTTGTAGATTTAATTAATTTGAATTTGAAAGGCAACAACTTTCAATTTAATTAAATTCTTTGAAATGGAATGTGATTATTATTGAATTTTACCTTTCTATCTATTTTACAGTGCAGCTCTCCCAAATAAAATTCAGGTTCCTCAATTTAGATTCAGCTACTACAAACACTTCGCTTCCCTGTGTTTTGACTGACAGGCAGCAGCCCACTCCAGTGCTGACATTAATGGCCTCACACTCCTCACTTGGCCAAGCAGGCCAATCATGTGACCTGTTCTTCTCCTCTCACAGTGAAGTTTGAGGTTTGGCTTCTCCACTTTTGAATTGTCAAGTCAAGTCAATTTTATTTGTATATCACATCAAATCATAACAGAAGTTCTCTCAGGGCATTTTCATATACAGTGAGTCTGATAATATTATTTACAAAGACCCAAAGAAATCCCACCATGAGCAAGCACTTGATGACAGTGGCGAGGAAAACTTCCTTTCAAGAGGTAGAAACCTCTAGCAGAACCAGGCTCAGTGTGAGCAGCCATTTTCCCTCGAAGGTCATCTGGTGCTTTATGGTAACACAGGCTCAACCAAGCTGCTAATGGCACCTGACTCTGACTACCTGACTCCAGTGAACGATAGAGGCATAACCCCGGCAAATTCTTGTATGATTTAAAATTCAAGTAGCATATATACGACTTAGATTTGTCTCAGTGTTAAAGTGTACATTGCATCATCAGCCCAAAACAGATTTTTAAAAAGTGCCTCTGTATATTATTCTGTGTTTAGATTGATCAGAACAAGATCATCTGTGTGAGATTAGGAGCAAAATTTTGAATTATAAAACCACTCAGGCAGAAAATAACACTGTGTTAAAAAAAAAAAATCGCTGCAGGTATCGATGAAAAGATAAAAAAAAAAGATAAAAATCCAATCTGGGAAATCCAGTTTGAGTGTAAGAATTTTCAGACGCCAAAACAGTTTATAATATTATCTATGACAGTGGTTTCTCAACCTGAGGCTCACAGGATATTTTCCAGGGGTCACCAAATGGTTGTGGAGAAAAAAAATGAAATAACATTCAAAAGTAAAATAACATGTTTTAGAATGGGGAATGGTTTTTACATTACATAGCCTGTACCAGTGGTATAATTTGCCTTAGAATAGATTTTATTGAGTGCGTGTGTGAGAGTCAGAGTGTGTGTTTTGTTTTCTGATTAGACCCATTTTGGCGCTCACTGCCACAGTATTGTGCTCAACTAAGCAGCTGTAGCCAGTTTTGCTAGCTGTCACATGGAAAGACTATGGAGCAATTGCTTCTCGAGGAAGTAGCTGCGTCCTGCATATTATCCAATCCTTCCTTGTCCTATCTCTAACACTAGGTGGTCCCTATAAACCAGCCCAGCCTCCGCCGGTATTAGCATTCAGCTGTGTGTGAATGTTTCTTTATATATATATATATATATATATATATATATATGCGCTCATGTTCATCAAATGTTGTGTATCTCAGGCTTTGTTAGGGGGTTTGTGAGGGACAGGCTGTGCCAAGCTTGAAGAGATATGCTCCAAAGCATCACATGAGCACAGCTACGATGCCAAACTATAATGTGTATCATTATTATTGCAATAAAACCTCAACGTACGTGTCCTGAGTGAACAGTAATATACCAGGAATCTGAACGTTTGCCATATTCTATTGGTCGATGTGGAGCTTTAATGGATGATTTTGTGATAAAAGTTGAACTAGAATAGATTTTTGCTGGATGACTCCTATTGTATGAGCGCCACAGCCTTATTGGTTTCATTGAAATGAATTATGATACCTTTCTCAGTCTTTGATATATTTTTCTAAAGCCAATATTTTCTCTGATTTCCCAGTTTGTCTTCTTGTACTTCTCACATTATGTCCCTCTCGCTCTTCTCTCCTCTCTGCCTGCCTGTCTTTCTGCCTGTCTGCCTGCCTGCCTGCCTGCCTGTCTGTCTGTCTGTCTGTCTGTCATCAAGGTGAGTACCCACTCAGAGCCTTCACCCCAGTCCCTGAGCCTTCAGCAGCCCGCCCAGCCCCCGCCGCCTCCCCCTCCCCCCTCACAGCCCCAGTACGGTTTGCCCGTCCCGGAGTCGCGGGAAAAGCAGCTCTGCTTCTCGGACTTCGAGGACCTCAGTGCTTCTTTCCGCAGTCTTTACAAGTGCGTCTTTGAGCAGTCTTTCTCACAAGGTGGGTGTCAACTCTGTATGTGTATGTGGATTAGTGTGTTTAGTTCCTGTGTGCCTGTCCAACATCTGTAATGACACTTGTGTTTGCAGAAAAAAAAAAAAAAAAATCATGTAAACCTCAGTCAGGCTTCATGCGCATAATTAACTGTCAAGCTTAAGCTCCAATTGAAATTGAAAGAATTTATCATTGCTTTCCGGGCAATAAAAGCATTCCAGTATTAACCTCCACCACACACTACTCCTACTCTATTGTATTTTAATAAACAAACAATCTGTTGTTCCGCATATCTGCATTTTACCGCTCGCTCAGTCAAATGAGTAAAGGCAATTAAGAAGAAGAATTCAACAGAAGGAGAAAAAAACTCTCAAACACATCTGCAGTCGAGCAGAGCAAAGGGTTCTGCAGCTTTGATAGCAGCTAATTAGATTGGTTCTAAAGTTTGTGAAGCATCTCGCTAATTGCTTCCTGAAGCTTTCAGGTCACCAGGCCTCCTCCCATTTGGACCCCCCACCATCCCACCATCCTCCTATCACCTTCCCTCTCTCGCTTTCTTCTCCCCATACACATCCACGATGTATGTTCTGTAGCCGAAGAGATTGATGCGCTCTGTTGAGCTCCGCAACCGCCCCCTGGATTCACCCTCTGACTAGGTCCCTTCAATTTGCGGTCAGGGGCACACACACAGAAAAAGATGAGATGATGAGAATACTTGTTGAAAAAGAAAATGGATATAACACGGAGACAGAGTGAGACTTAAGTGTCAGGCTTAGCAGGAAACAGTGTCAGCAGTCATTGTATTTGAGAATTTGAGTCACAATGAGTCATCTGGACAGTGGAGCTCATCGCCTCCTTTGAAAAACCACAGTGTGTCCAAGACCACACACCGAACTGTATCTGACTCAGGTAGGGGTTGCAGTCATTCTCTGCCGGATCCTTATTCTGCTTCATCCTCGTAAATTACAGGCCAAACAGAAGAGACAAAAAAATAAACAATGAATTAATAAATTAGGATGGGAATCATCAGTTGAAGCAGCATGAAAAGTTGGGTGTTAAAACAATTTATTTTACAAGCTTTAATAATAAAACTCCACTTTCCCTCATGTCACATTAAACTTAAAGGGATTTAAATAAAAGTGCCGTTTTTCCAATATTATAAACTAGAAATTAGTTCCATGCTGTTTTATGCCTGACCAGTCAAGTTGCAGGAAATATGCTCACAATCTCTCCTTCCTGAGTTACAGCATTGAAGAATGACCAAGTGTTTTTGCACAACATTATGATGTCACAGTGAGGTTGACCTTTGACCATTTGGATATAAAATGTCATCACTTCATCATTTTATCCTATTAGACATTTGTGTTGAATTGTGTCATTAATGTATGACTTTCCTGAGTAATGGCCACAACACACATGTGTTTTGTGAGGTCACAGTGACCTTGACGTTTGACCTTTGACCACCAAATTCTAATCCGTTCATCCTTGAATCCAAGTGAATATTTCTGCCAGATGTAATGAAATTCCCTCCGGGCGTTTCTGCCATATCACATTCACGAGAAAGTGAGTCACTGTGACCTTGAACTTTGACCTTTGCCCACCAAAATCTTATCAGTTCATCTTTGAGTCCAATTGAATCTTTGTGCCAAATTTTAAGAAATTCCCTCAAGGCATTGTTGAGATATTGTTTTAAGGAAAATGAGACGTACGTACGTCCCTACAGACCGATGGACAACCTGAAAACCTGACGTCTGCGGCCCTGACTGTCACCAGCGTGGAGGCATGTTTAGACAGAGGAAAAACACAAGACACAGTACAGTACAATACAGTACATTGTGACTAAATAAACAGATAAAACATGTTCTCATAAAAACATAGCAGAGGAAATCAAGGAATTGGAATCAAAAAACACTTTTACAAGCAGGTAAAGTGTAACGACTCCCTAATGGCCGCATGCTCAGAGAAACTCAGTATGCTCATCGATTTCTCTATGATTTGTTGGTCACAAAAAGAACTCAAGTCCCTCTGTTTCACTTCACTGATCTTTAAAGAGATCTTAACGGCACTGTTCCTGTCTTTCAGTGATAAGCAGTGGAACAGCAGATAAAGGAGAAGGTCAAAAGATTCTCAACAAAAGATTGATATGAGCAACTTAAGAACAAATGTACTGCCAGAATATAAATGGTGTTTCTGAAGACAGTGCACTCTCTGCTGGCCACACTTAATGATCATCTCTGTGTTTATATCCAACCTTAAATCATTCTTGAACACAGCAAAGTACTTGTAAGAATCACTTACTTTTAACTCACATAACCTACTTAACATTAGAAAAAAAAAAAAAAAATTGCTGTTGTGCTACGGCACAAAAGCAGGAAAAGCACAACCATGGTGCAACTGTGTGCCTGAAGAAAAGATAACAACACAGCACCGTCTGAAAATTTAACAAGGTAGCTTCCTGCTTTACAGTTTCTGCAGCTGTCAGTATCCATGATGAAAAGTAAAGATAAAACACGCTCGTGGGATGACCTCTCGCATCCAAGAAACTGCCATTCACAAGAATCCTCTGCCGTTTGTCAGTCAAAACATATAAAATCCATAAGTTGATGAGGGAGGCGCGCGTGCGTGAGTGCATGTGTGAGTGCGTGCGTGTGTGTGTCAGTCAGAGAAAGAGATTTTCATAACAAGCAACTGGAGAAGCACTGACCTGAACTTGTTAATTTGTGTAGGATTACTGACCAAATTATGGCAATTTGACTTGAATTGAAAATTAACCTAGAAATAAGCTTTTCAAAAATCGTATAATGAGATGCGACAGGCAGGTCAGCGTATGTTGTAATGTACACGCAGGGATTATCTTAATATATAGTTACTCACTGAAAAGTCAAACCTCTCAAAACAACAGTAAGAGGTTTCCTGGTGATAAGGGATGTCAAATTAATTCTTTTACAAGCTCCCTGAAGGTCAAAGCTTTAATACTATCACTCAGTTGTATCTCTACACAGTTTATTAGCCCTGTTAATTTCATCCTATAAGTCTCTAGAGATCACTCCATCATCTGAACTATTTCCTTTGAGAAAGGTTTCTTTGTTTGGTTACCTATGGTTTGTTGTTTGGAAGAGCTACAGTCTTTACACAAAATAACACACGTCAGAAGATAAAACCACAGACAGATAATTTAAATCTTGGCATATTATATTGTATTATATTATATTATATCGTATTTTATTATATTATATTATATTATATTATATTTTGAAAAGACGTGTCATTAAACTTGTAAAACTGTCATCTGTACAACATTTAGCTGCCTTTTCCATCCTCCTTGGGATTCATAAACACCAGGAACTCAACCACAAAATACTTCTCCTTAGCTCTACCACAGGTTCAAAAATGGTCACTGTCATTTTTAGATGATTACTTTTGAGCTTTGTAGAATATTAGTGGGTGTAAATTTGTGTGGGAAATAAAATTAGGGAAATACCTTAGTTGGATGAAAAGGGCAAAGCGGGATGGACAGCAGTTCAGCATTGGAAGTACATAATTTTCCCAGATCTGTTAGTCCATCTAGTCACAAATAGATCTTTAGTTTCCTGTTTGTTGACGTTACTTCGAAATCATCTGGCAGGTCTGATGGGTATGCCGGGTGACTCCAGCCAGCAGGCCCGGACCGCCTGCTCTTACCAGCACTCTCCTGGTGCGGGAAACAGCGGGGGCCACCACCACCAACACAACCACGGCCAGGCGCCGCACCACGCCCACCACCCTCAGCAGCACCTGTCCCCTCACTCCACCCACGGCCAGCACCAGGCACACGGTCAGCATGGTCAGCACCAACAGCACCCTGCGCACTCCCAGCAGCACCCGTCTCTCTCCCACCAGAGTCACACTGGACAGACCTGCCCCTCAACAGGTGAGAGGGAGTTAGGGAGTATTTTTACACTTTCACTGTATGTGTAGGAGTTGAATATGCTGTCAGATACACACTGTTAATGTCTCCCAGCTGCAATTACGAGTGGGAGGTATGGGCGACTTAGGAAGACTATAAAATCTCCCAGTTGGATAAAGAACTTTAGATGTGTCCACAAACTGCTGCCAAAATGGCTCCAAAGTTACTATCACTGGCACTATCCGATTTGAACTTGTTAGTGAGTTGCTACAGATACATGGACAGTAATAATAATTATGAGTTAGACAACCCTTCAATTAATCTGGTGTGACTGCAGGACCAGCAGTAGGGGTAATCATCCTCATAGAGTGCATTAATTCTCTCAACAAGAGGCTTTCCTGTTTCTCCCACTCTGATGCCGTGGTGTGAACGCAGCATTAGGAAAAGACTCCAGCGGAGCCATGAAATCAGAGTAATGGGATGTTCAGAATATTTCATAGTTGCCGGATTGATCCAGAATCTGAAATTGAATGGATTCAAAATGCTGAATGTATCAACAGGGTTTCTCCAAAGTGTCGTCTCTTCAGCCTGCCATTAGCAGTGCAGGCACCTGAAACATCCTTGTATTCTAACCTCCATCAGTGACCCATACATTTAAGGTGCTCCAACTATCATTCACCTCACATTATGTATAGAAAGTGTGAAACAGAATAAGAAAATAAACTGTACTTTCACTGCCTGCACGGCCATTATAACACATTCCTCTCCTCTGCTGCAGACCCTTTTACTAATTCTTGTGAGAGGAACCCACCGACTGTACAGTACAGCTTCATGTTTCATATATATTGATGCAGCACAGCACCAAACCATGATTCTACTTCTCCAGACTCCCAAAGCCACATAGGTGTAAATGCAATTCACCTAACAAAACAGAACGGGGTTGTCTGTGCACAGACTCATTGCATTTATATAATACTCTTCCATCTATAAGGTGCCAGAGAATTTGATGTTATGAGCCTGGGCTGACACAAACAGGCATCTCCAAAGCTTCACTGAGGCTTTTCCTCCTCATATTCCCAGTCTTTGTTTTTTTTCCTTTCCCTGTATCTCTGCAACACAGCTCTCAGGCCAGAGAAAAGGACTATTCAGACATTATTTATCTAGGTTAGTATTCCCCTCAACCAAGCTGAGGATGAATGAAAGCAATCCCTCTGTCTTTGATCCACGGTCTGAGAATGTATTGTTGTTTAGTTTTGTGGTGATGGGGGCCGTGAAAAGCATTTTCCTCTTCTTTTTTTTTTTCTCAAAAGCAGAGCTGTGGCTGGAATTTTTCTGTGTGAAGTCACACCACCTTGTGGTTGATGGCTGAACTTATCTGAGACAAATTTCACTTCTTTTTAATATGAATATGTTCACCTGTTTCACATCATGTCACATTGTCATGCTGCTCACTATCATGTTAATATAAATGAAAAAAATGCCAAACACTGTGATTCCAGTACCTCAAATATGATTTCCTGCTTTTTCCTGTGTTGTATCACTGGAAATTGGATATTGTTTCTGGTTCAGAACAAACAATCAATTTGGAAATTGTAACAGGCATTGTTAACTATTATTTGACATTTTATAGATGAAATGATTGAATGATTAATCGCAAAATAGTTAAAGTGCTAATTACTTTTAGTACTTGTATCCTGTCCATTCAAAAAAAAAATTAAGTCAAGTATAATTGAAATGTCTAGTGAGACACAGTGTAGAGTAAACGCGAGATCATTAATATCAATAAATATACTGTATATATATATATGTATGTATCCCATTAGAATTTATGGCACAGAGATCCATGAAGACAAAACAAACAAAAACAAAGCAAACAATTGAAAACACAAGATCAAGAGATGTACACATTAAATGACCGGGGTCAAACGACCGTGGTCAAATCATATCAAACACAAATCAAGTTCCCCATTTTAATGTCATCAAAGAAATTATACCAGATCTGAAAATTCCTGTCATTTACACCTTTTATGAGAAGATCTCTTTCATTAAGGTCCTCTTTTATGTGTGGAGCTGTTTTAAGAATGATTCAATAAAGTAATAATTTGTGTCGGTACACAGTTACATACCTACAGTTTGGGAACGCCCTGCTGTTGCTATTCTGGATGAAAGTTTTAGAGATTTTTGGGTCAACATTTAGGCTCCATCGTCGCCTAAACTCTGTCTGCTGTGGAAAGAACATAATTAATTACCATACGTTATCAATTGTCCTTTGTAATGGTGTGCAAGATTATTTTTAAAAATTATTTAATTGTGTGTGTGTGTGTGTGTGTGTGTGTGTGTGTGTGTGCGTGCATGCATGTTTGTTGTCTCCCAGGTATTTCATCAGACTGGTACCCCAACCTGGACTGGCTGAAGGAGAGCTGCCGCATTGCTACCAGCTACAACTGGGCTGACGTAGACCTCTCCCCATTTCAAGGTAACACACACACACACACACACACACACACACATGCGCACACCACTAACAGTCCTGGTGCCATCAGTGTGACCAGCATCTGAAAAGAGCATTGATAAAGCTGTCTACCGCAACCTGTTTCGACACAGTGAGAACTGATAAAATGCTTATGATGCCGATCAGCTATTTTGATTAAACCATTATGATTCCTCTCTACACTTTCATATAAACTTGCCCTTGAGGCACAATATTATAATATCCACTGTTGTAATAGTACTGGCCTAATAAAAGTCATTATCCTACGTCGGAGGAGGTGCCACTCTCTCTTTCTCTCTCTCTCTCTCTCTCTCTCTCTCTCTCTCTCTCTCTCTCTCTCTCTCTCTCTCTCTCATACACAAACACACACACACACACACACACAGCCTCCCTCGCAATTGTATGATGTGAATAATCCAATTAGGCCCCGGCTCAGTAACAGCCTCTTATCACGGTCAGCGCACAAAGCCAGCAACATCCACACACGATGGATGATGACGGCTGGTCTTATAGCACACAGGCTGCCGCTGCCGCTCTCTCTCTCTCTCCTGCAGCGCTTGACCTCCCTCACACTGCCGTAATACCATCCTGCGCCGTCTCTGGCTCACCTCCAAAGAGCAGGAGCCGAACCTCTTGTGTCTGTCGCTGCCAACACAGGCCATATGAATCTGATGTTGAGAAATATCAGAGGACGGTCTGTTGAACAGCAGCTCGGGTGTGTCTTTGTTGGAAGGAGCAAGTAAGAAAAAGAGGTGTTTCAGGTTCAGGGTCTCGTTGTACGTCGTGTGAGATATGAACAGGTATGTTGTCAGGACAGCGATGTACTATGAGGCTTATGCTGGATGTGACGTTACAATAATATATGATATAAATATAATTTATTTTTCATTGGTTGGACATCAATACTTACGATGGTATGGATACAAGCTCAGTATTTAGGAGGCCTGGAATTTGTCTAGAAATAGCAATTTCAGAGAAATAATTAAGTCTGTTTTATTGTTAGTCTCATGTAAAGGAACAACTATAAACACAAGCTAGGTGGAACAACACCGGACTTAATTGAAGCAGGATCTAGTTGCTGCTAAATAAGAACATCAGTGTGGATACTTTGTTTTCTACTGATTTTGTTTGCCTCGTATTTCATTTCATTTTTATTCTCACACGTCTTTAATCCCTCCAACATTAACCTTTTAAATCCTGGAAAACGAAGGAAAGCACTGTTCATACTCACAACATTATTTTGAATTATAGCCATATAATATGTCTTGTAGATAAAACATTTATACATTTGTTGCAGTTGTGCAGCCATAGAAAAATGGCATCTTGGAATTTACCATATTGTTTTACTCAATAGGAGTGTGAAGTAGCTTCAAAGGTGAAGTTGTGAAACGGCAAGTTAAAGTTAAAGGTAGACGTATAGATATTGCAAATATTATTATCTAACTTGCTTAAAAGGGAAAATGATGTGACATACTGAGAACATTGGATTAAAGCAGTTCACTAAAAATGATAAAAGCTCTTCAGTGCGTGAGCGTCACTGTCCGTCTTTGCCTCCTCTCTCTGTCTGAGCCAGGTCTGAAGGAGAGCATGCGACAGGCCGAGCTCAACAACTGGTCGCTGGACGCCGCCCAGATGGCCGACCTGTGCTCCTCCATTAACCAGTTCTTCACAGCCACAGGGGTCATCCCCCCTCAGGGCGCCACCCACCCACAACCTCAGGTCCAACACCCGACACCACCAGGAGCACCACAGCACCCGGCTCAGCCACATGGGGCCATGCACCCAAAGGCTAGCCAGCACAATCAGCATGGGCAACACAACCAACATAACCAACACATCAGCACGGGTCAGTATTCACGTTCACCAAAGCATGCGGTAGGCAGCAGCAGAATTAAAGTAGCAAACCACAAAGTAGAAATCATTCATTAGAACTTACATCCTGTAATATGAACTGATATATCAGCAATTTTGGGACAAATGAAGAAGAACAAGGAAGGAAGGAAGGAAGGAAGGAAGGAATCAACTCTCTTCTTGATTGTCTCGCTGTGTCACTGATCTGAAACAAGAAGATCCTGATATTTTGGTCATTATATGTAATAAAAATATGAATTCAACTATTTTAAGAGGTAAAGATTTTTTTACCTGGCAACAGCCACATTTTATGAGTTTATCTCAAGATAAACTCTCAATCTGGCAATTAGCTTGTAACTCCAGCCATGACATAAATGTAGTGCAGTAAAAACCCAATATTTATCTCTGAAATTAACTCACCCAGGATACCACCAGTGCTAGTGCCAGTATATTAACATTTTACAGACTTATATAAATGTGCTTAGTTACGTCTCACCTTGGCAGTAGGCACCCAGAGACTTGCTCTGTCACATTTTTGCATTTGCTCGCTGTGACGGGGGCTGAAGCTCCAGCCATGTAGCTGAATTACAGTCTAAATCCTCACTGTGCCATTGTTTCCCCATTATACATTTACAGCGGAATTATGGATTTTGTCAGCTTCATGGCGACTGGGGTAAAGTCATGCGGACGAGGGGATATTTCACCAGCGGGAAATCCACAGAGGGACTGAGATCTCTAGCTTAGCATAAGACGCCAGTAATTCTGTCTGTGCACATGACAACAGCTCATGTTCTGCCAAGACGCATACACATGTGAGAAAGTCAGGATACTAATCTGACAGTTAGTCATTGCCCTTTTGTCTGTTCTCCCACAGGGAACATGTACATGGACTCCAGACAGAACATGTCCTCACTGATGGGCCCACCAGGATACCCCCACATGCCTCCGATGAGCAACACGGCTCCCACCATGACAGGTGACTGCTCCATCTCTCTCAACAGGTCAGGAGGAGCTGGTAGAAATGCAGGGTATATACACTGTATATGTGCAAGTGTGTGTTTGTCGGCACAAGAATTGTGACAGCGCCTGTGCTAAATCGAAGATGAAGACCCATAAATTCAATCTGAATATCAGGCTGACACATTTCACCACGTGGAGTGACACATTTTAATCTCTGCACTGACAACGAATTATAGATACATACATATACATTCATATAAGGGTGTCACGGACGGGCGTGGCAGGGACAATCAAAGCGGTTCTCCAGTAATATAGTATTGCACTTCCATAAAGCTGTGGACTCGCAAGAGACAGATTTAATAAAGAATGATCCAATTTAATGTAGCAGAGGCTGAGTATGAGACAAACCTACATTTCCCATGACTCCAGCGATATCACCTGAATTAGGGTAAGCTAATAGTGATTTGGTTTATGTATTTTTCTTTTTCTTTGTGCCTCATGCTGATAGATTCATTCAAATATCTGTGTCCCCTCCCCTCCACTGTATATATTGCTTTTTTCTTTCTATCTATCTGTCTTCCTGTCTTCATTTCCTCCTTTCTCATTTAGAGTGATGTGATTTTTATTTTTACGTTGAGGTGAGGTTTAACATAAGCCCTCCATGGGTTTCTTACCTCGCCTGGACATTCTCTCCTTAAAAAAAAAAAAACTGTATACAATGTATTTGTAATATTCTATGTGTGCGAATAAAAAAAATCAAAAAATCGAATCAATCTAGAGCCACAGAAGACATCATACAACGGTTTTCACAGGCTGAGTGGCACCAACCATGACTGGCTAACAACTTCTTTTCATATGAAAAATTGGCAGAATATCTCTTTAAGACAAATTGTCTTGTTTTACAGGAAAAAGAAACATTAAAGAATTTGGTTTAAAAGATAAATGAATGAAATTAATTAATTAAATGCCAAGGTTTTTCTGATCTCTTCTGTTCACTTCAACACAGTGTTCAAGTATTTGAAATGGTCCTATTGTAGCAAGGACGCTCTGAAGATAAAGATACTCGTCGGCACAGTGCAGCCTCATAAAAATACAGTAGACCTACTTGCATTGGATTTCGTTGTTACAAGATACTCATGTCAGTCGAACGGCTGTCATTAAAATCACTGAATGCGCTGCTAAGAATCACTCGCTGTTAAAACCAGTCGGAGAGAATTAGGATTATTTGACGCCTCCACAAGGACTTCAGTTGTTTTTGACTTTTCTTAGATTTTTCCACTAGCTGCTGGCGCCCAGAGAAGTCTCTTATTCTGTTCTAACAGTTCTTCTCACATGTTAAAAAAAAAAAGCCACAGTTTGCGGTAATGACACAGAAGTAGTATTGAACTGTCACTGCTGTGGTGACCAGTATTTATCAAAGTCTTACTCCCATCTTCTTCCATGTCCAGGTCATCACAGCCAGCTGAGCCAGCAGCAGCAGCAACACACGCTGCCTCCGGGACACTTCCAAGTGAGACGCATGCTCGCTGCAGACGACATCCAGGATGACTTTGACTGGGACTCCATTGTCTAAACGGAGCCGTCGGTTGAACAGAGGGACGAGAGAGACTGGAGATGAGAGACAGAGGCGACATGTGATGACAGGTGAGGTATGGAACTGACCAACCTGCTCCTTTCACCAGTGTGAAAAAAAAACAGAAGACAATCCAACTGAAAACAAATGGAAAGTACATTTTTTTCTGATCTTGCTGGCCTTTTCTTTTCTGGTAAAAGTGGTTGATGACTCTAAAGACAATCATTAAAATGAGACTTAAATGGGATTGGACCAAGCCAAGATGTAAACACACATCATCCAAAGCAAAAGGACGAGTGAAGCTCTCTGAACTGTCTCATGTTGTGTCCCCCAGCGCCAACAGGGTTACAAGTCGCCAAAAGTGTTGTCGAATCGTCTGTGAATTATTTGCCTTTCGTTCTCTTAAATCTTTTGTGTTGTGTCCCATATCTGCAAAATTCCAGCACCCGAGGCTGAAATGAATAGAAACCTCGACTTCTTCAAAACTCCCTGCAGAAAATAAATTATCCATCATCCACATGCATTCACACACACTCGAGCGCATTGAGCAGGTCTTAACTATTACATCCTATTCTTTGTTCATCTTGACACTCAGAAGGAGGATTTTTGAAGAAGAGAGTAACCATGGTGTACCTGTTCAACTTGAATCAGTAATGGTTGAGTTGACCACCACCTGCTGGTCAAAACAGGCACCTTTTTTGCTTCATCTGCCTAAAATGGTTCTATGCACCACAATCTGTTTTTCTTTACCTTTATTCTGTCACACCTTTTCACTTTATTTTCATCACTTTAAATGTCATTCTTGAGTGAGTGGAACAGTCCATGGTGCCATGTTCTCAGGGTGTTACATTCCTAAACATCGTCACACCTCTGCCATTAGCATCTCTATATGTGAGGTTCTCTGCGTGTTGTACGGTGCTATCAGTGTTCACTTGGCGAACAGCGAGCATCCTTGTGAGAAGTTTAAAATCTTCATTTGTCAGCTTATAAGCTAACTCATGTGAAATACTGTGGAATACATTTGTCAGTAGTTCAAACAGCAGCCACTAATTGAAATGAAAACGAGACGCTGGCTAGACTTGGACTTTGTCTACAGAAATACTTTGTTTTCTGAGATACAATTCAGTTTTTCAAGGTTTCATTATTTTGGGAAAGTGCATATCATTCATGGCCAGGCAGAAAAGACTGGTTGTTATTTCAAGATGCCTCATTTAGGAGAAGATGAGCAGTTTTTTGCACAACATGAAGCTTGATAGCATCTAGTGAATGAGAAAAACAAAAGAAAATGGTGAACATTTTATTTCTTTGTTTCAAAAGACATTTAAAAAAAATAGAGCAGCAAAAGAGCAAAGACTAAGCAAAATATTCAACTTTTTTTACTGTGATGTTTAATTTTGTCTGTGTGTACAAGTGTGTATAGTCCTCTCTGATTTCCTTTAGCATACAGCTCCGTACAGTTCAAAAAATACACATAAGAAACAAATACTTTGTTTGTAATAAGTGGGTACACAGTGAACTATGGGACCTTAAAGTGCTCTTTGGTTTGAAAGATCTCAGTGATTGTTCAGATGGTCAAAACAAGGTCTCACTGTAGAAAAAAAAAAGAAAAATACTCTTTATTATTGCCATTAAATGCTGTATTACAGTGACCAGCATATATATCTTGTATGTTTGTGTGTTGTTGTCCTTGTAAATAACAGTATGTTAATCCTCTGTTTGCCCTTGAAAAACTGATGAAAACTGCAAATGGAGAGAAAGTATTTTGTTATCTGTCCTTCAGGAGACACAGTATGTATATACCTTCAGTATATTGTAAATAAGTGGTTAAAAAAAAAAAAAAAAAACTTTGGCGTTGGCGTTTTGTGTGTCATAAATAATCTGTGTATGGAGGTTCAACAGTTAAAATCTGTTTCAGTGTTTATTAAAATGTCATTGACCATTTTTACTGCGCTAACCTCGCATCTACTGTGGTTATTTCATCAGCTCTTTTCACAAAAAACTTTCAGTGATCCTAAATGTAACATGCTGCTTCAGTATTTTGCAGTTTGATTTTTCAGGTAAAAAAGAGAAACAGAGACAGAATCAAGTTTTCCTTGTTAATATAACTTCTTCTTCCTTGGCCTTGTGACCCTTGTAGCTTGTTGTCCAACAGGTGTCAGCCTAGGTCCAAGCAAAAGTTTGTTTGCCCACCATCACATGTAAACCCAGCAGACCACCCATGCCTGCCTGTGTGAAAGTCACACAATGTTCTAACTGTATTTACGGCTCCTTTTCATTGGGAAAACCTGTTTAAAAAGCAGCTCTCTCTTGCTACGGTCTGTCAGCCACAGATGTATGCTGTCGCTTTTCTTCCCAAGAACAAGAATGATGATTTAAACGATCAATATAGATGCATTACTGATGCTTGTTTAATTCACTGTTGGCTTTTATTAACAGTTAAGTACTGTTAAAGAATGTGATAGGTAACATTAGTGATGGTCTGTTCTACTGATGACATTTTCTTGGCTCTTAACTCCGTGGTTAAAGATTTCTTCTCTCTCCATTCATTCAAAGACCATTTAAAAAGCTTGTTGCTTTCGCTTTTTAATTTTACAAACTGGCCAGATGTAGCTTGAGGGGTCTTGATAAACAACTCAACGGTCTGTTAATCTGTATTTCCAAGTGTGTGCTTGCATGTGTGAGTGCTGCTGATATTGCAGTATTTGCAAACAGGAGGGCTGGCTGTGCACCAAGAGGAGAGCACGTCCTGCACGGGGCTGGACCACGAGGGCTGAAACCACCTTACTGCCCCAATCCCAGCGCCTTCCTCCCAAGCCAACCTGCCCCTTGCTCTTCAACCTGCCCAGCCCACCACCAGTACCAGCCCCCCTCCTCCATTCTCAGCTCCGCCACTCACACACTCTTTTCTCTCTCCTGCTGTGTGCCATCCCCCCTACCCTCCCACCACCACCGCCTCCCTCCCCCCCCCTCTCTCTATCGTGCTCGCTCTCTCTCTCGCGCGCGCTCTCTCTTCCCACTTCCTCAAAGTGGCCAGAACTCCTCTCTTTTCTCTTGTCCTCTCTACATCCCTCCACCACTCTTCGTCTTCCTCCTCCAGCTGCAAGAGCGACCAGCGCCGGCTCGGCCCATTTGTCATTTACCTTCACAAGTTAAAAGGAACTCAGGCCACTACTTTTCTCAAACTTCCCAGGAAGACTTTATTTTCATTCTTGACCTTTTTTGGTCCTTCACTCAGCCCCTCTAAGGAGACCAGTTGGTGTGTGTGTCTGGCGTGTGTGCGGCAGCCTGTACGAGGACTCTGGTGTCTTGCTCTTTGCCCTGAGGGAGTCCCTAAAGGTTGTGACTGGAGGAGAAAAGTTTTCATCACAATGAATGTTCAGCTGCTGCTCCTGTTGGCCCTGGTTGGCCCTTTCTGTGCCTTCACGCATGCAAGTAAGTGAACACTCTGTTATCACTGTCCTGCTGTTAGCACACTGTGTCCCCTCTCTCCCTCCACCTCCATGTGCCCAAACCACACCACTCTTTGTCTGCTTTAATCCCTGCTGATTGAAGAGTAACACTGTGGAGGCTGGTTTCAAAGTAAGAAATAAACTCAATTTTAGTCTGTTTATCCAATAACTAGTTAATATGGATTATTATGTTTAAAGAATTTTAAACACTTAATATTTTTAACTGTCTTTTTGACTGTTTTGACTGTCAAATCATCACTGAAAACGGCTGACCCATATGTTACACCTTGGCTGAGAATCACTCCGATGAAACTTTTGGGTGAAGGTGTTAATTTAACAAAGAGGGCATGACTCAAATGGATAGTCTATGTTGATTTTAACAGATACCCTCCCTCCGTCTCTCATTTTCACATTACTCATGAGCCCTGGACAGGAGGAAAAGTTTGATTTGCAGACACAAAGGTGAAATGTGATATAATAGCAGGAGCTCTCTTGCCTCGTGTCTGTAAATTCTTGGCACTGGCAAAGAGAAGAAAGGAATATCCTTTGGAAGCCTCCCAAAAACATTGCTCATACTGAGGGAGGGATGGGGTGGGCTGTAAACTGTAACATACACCGTACACATTTATGTGAACGCTTATCCACTTGCCTCCTCACTTTACTCCTGGTTCTCTAATTTCTCTCTTGCTGCAGCTTCTTTCTTTCTTTCTTTCTTTCTTTCTTTCTTTCTTTCTTTCTTTCTTTCTTTCTTTCTATTCTCTCTTTCTTCCTTCCTTTCTTTCTCTCCCTCGCCCTCTACGTCCTTCCTTTGCCTTGACCAGCAGCACCGTTTGCCCAGGGGAAGCAGCAGGCACAGGGAGGTGGAGGGGTGTGTGACTGAGGCCTGAGGGAACTGTGGGGCAGGGCAGGGCTGGTTTGCGTGTGTGTGTATTAATAGAGAGAGGCTCTATATTTAAGAGGGTCATATGGATGAGAGAGGAGCAGGAGACAGGAAGAAAGTGAGCGCCCGGTACGGGATGAGTTTGTGAAGGTTCCCCACCCTCTTTTACCCGCATTGCTATTAAACTGTGCGGCACAACGCCCCTTGGCATTTACCCATCTTTGGAGGGATATCAAGATCTACCACTTGAACCCACCGTCTCTTAACAGTCCTCCGCCTTGCTCCAATTTTCTGCTCCCCCTGTTTCAGCTTGATGAGTCTGGACCCCGGGGGACAGGGTTGGTGTAGAGACAGGGGGAGCAGAGAGGGGCTGGGTCTATTTTTGAACAACAACCTTTACTGGTCGGAGACGGCATGCCTGCCCCATTTCCATGGAGGTTTGCTCCTTGTAGTCCATAAACTTACAGAACTGAACTCAACTTTTTCGCAAAAAGAGAAACAAAGAAATAGCTCATTCCACATTTATCTTTCTTAAAGAGCTATTTAGCTCCCTCATGTCTGCTCACCTAACTAGTAAATCCCATGTTTCCTGTAAAGCACTTCCCCCCCTCCCTCACAATGGTGCCCCCCCCCCCGGTCTCCTTCTTAATGAGTTTTGTCTGCGTCTCTGGGCCCATAACATCCCTGTCACATCTGGCCGACGAAAGCAGAGGTCAATGCCCTTTGTCCGTGCCCAGTTCTAAAAATGACTCAAATGTTGCGCTCATACTACAAATATGAGACACATGCTGGTAAAGAGG